CCCCCGGCCTTTTCTGTGCAGCCATGGCTGTGTTTTGGGCAGTCACGGTCACTTTTTGGGCTGCTATGGCCACTTTTTGGGCAGCCACTACCATTTTTGGGCATCCAGTGCCAGTTTTCATGCAACCACGGCCACTTCTTGGGCAGCCATGGCCACTTCTTGGGGTGCCACAGCCCTGTTTTGGGCAGCCACGGCTGTTTCTTGATCAACCACAGCCACTTTTTGGGCAACCATGGCCATTTTAGGTGGCCATGGCCACTTCTTGGGGTGCCACAACCCTGTTTTAGGGAGCTGTGGCTGTGTTTTGGGCAGCCACAGCTGTTTCTTGATCAACCACGGCCACTTTTTGGGCAGCCACGGCCATTTTTGGGAAGCCACGGCCACTTTTTGGGGAGCCACAACCATGTTTTGGGCAGCTATGGCCATTTTTTGGCAGCCACCGCCACTTGTTGGGCAACCATGGCTGTGTTTTGGGCAGTCGCAGTAATTTTGGGGCAGCCACGGGCATGTTTTTGGGCAACCACAGCCAGTTTTTGATCAGCCACAGCCACGTTTTAGGCAGCCACTGCCAGTTTTTGGGGTGCCACGGCCACATTTTGATCGGCCACGGCCACATTTTGGGCAGGCTCAGCCATTTTTCAGCAGCCACTACCATTTTTGGGCAACCACAGCCACTTTTTGATCACCCACAGCTGTGTTTTGGGCAACCAAGGCCATGTTTTAGGCAGCCACGGCGCCTTTTTGGGCAGCCATCAGCTGTGTTTTGGGCAACCAAGGCCATGTTTTAGGCAGCCACGGCGACTTTTTGGGCAGTCATGGCCGTATTTTAGGCAGCCACGGCCACTTTTCGATCACCCACAGCTGTGTTTTGGGCAACCACGGCCATTTTTGGGCAACCAAGGCCACTTTTTGGGCAACCACGGCCATGTTTTAGGCAGCCACGGCCACTTTTCGATCCCCCACAGCCACTTCTTGGGCAACCACGGCCACTTTCTAGGCAGCCACGGCCACTTTTTGGGGTGCCAGCCCCTACCTTCGGCACAGGAGCAGACCCCCCGCAAGGCCCCGGAGCTGCTGCGGCCGTTTTTCTTCTCGTGGTGGGTGTAGCGCAGCTTACGCGTGGTGGTGCCGTCCGACAGCCGCACCTCGATGTTGGGCAGATCGCGCCAGTCCGAACCGGGAGCCAAGGGGATGTGTCTCATCCGGGCCGCCACCAGGGCGCTCATGTCCTGCCAACGACAGACCCGTCGTCACCATCAGAGGGGGACGCCGAGGGGCACCGAGTTGGGAAAGTCAACCCGGGAGAGTTTGGGGATGGTCCCCTCTCGCCCCTTGATCCCCATCTCGGTGTCCTCCCTGTCGAGACCCCGTGTCCTGGTATGAGCTGAACATTTTAATTTCCTATTGAGTGGTTTTAACTCCAGCTCAGGCTCTTCTCAGCGCAGCGTGGTTTTCCAGACAGAGTGCGAGTGATAACGCTTGTATGTGATGGAAACATGGCAAGGCTGCTGTCTCACCATGGGTGCTGTGTCTGCCCCTACGGGGAGGAGCAGACCCCAAACCTGACCACTGAGGTATTGCAACCCTATAAAGCCCAGGGATCACCAGGGTCTGGACCCTTCCAGCTTGGCCCCTTCCTTCCCTCTCCACCCCTGCAATGGCCCAAGG